GTTCCAAGAAATACGTTTGCTCTAACCGATTTGTTCAATATAAATAATATAAATGCGTTTTTTGTATGTCATTTTATGGGACCTACTATTTTGTTTGTTATATCCGATTGTACGTTATAGCCGGTGTCGTTGTAAACGATTTTGACTGTATTATCTACTACCGCGTTTACTGGATTGTCCAAAGGTACGTCGGTAACAGGAGGGGGCAAAATCCATGTCATGAAACTGATCAGTGTTAAACGGATATATTCCCGATTTAAAAGAATTTTCGGCCGCCTGAATATTTGCTACAGAACCATCAGCAGTACTAGATAATACAGCAACTTGAAATTATATAATTACTTTACCTGGATTACTTATTATCCTCTTGTCACCTTCACTACTGTAAGTTCTTTTAAAGGACTAAAAACCAATATACACACACACACACACACACACACACACACACACACACACACACACACACACACACACACACACACACACACACACACACACACACACACACACACACACACACACACACACACCACACACACACACACACACACCACACACACACACACCACACACACACACACACACCACACACACACACACCACACACACACACACCACACACACACACACACACACACACACACACCACACACACACCACACACACACACACACACACACACACACCACACACACACACACACACACACACACACACACACACACACACACACACACACACACACACCACACACACACACACACACACACACACACACACACACACACACACACACACACACACACACACACACACACACACACACACAACACACACACACACACCACACACACACACACACCACACACACACACACACACACACACACACACACACACACACACACACACACACACACACACACACACACACACACACACACACACACACACACACACACACACACACACACACACACACACACACACACACACACACACACACACACACACACACACACACAACACACACACACACACACACACACACACACACACACACACACACACACACACACACACACACCACACACACACACACACACACACACACACACACACACACACACACACACACACACACACACACACACACACACACACACACACACACACACACACACATTTCAGAGATGCCACATTTACTGTGGCATCTGTGAAATATGACAAATGGACACATCAGCATTATTAATTTGTGTACTAACCGGACTTGTGACATCGATGTCACTAGTATAATTATTTGCATGTGTGAAATAGTGGTCACAGTATAAGAAGTTTGCAGGTGTGCAAAGTGGTCACACTATATGTAGTTTGCAGGTGTGTTAAGCATGATGTCACAGCACTTGTAATTCTCATGTGTCAGAATTCTGATTGTATGGATTCAAGTATTTTGTTTCGAAATCTAGTGAACAAGCCACAATATATATTTTTTTACAACGATTTGCTAAGTGGAAGTCGAAACGTTAAAAATAAACTTATTTTTAACTTATATTGTGGCTTATTCCCATAAAAATAGTAATTGAATTAAGATGCCGCAAGAAAATAGCTTTAGAATAATATTGATAAATGTCCATGTAGTTGATTTAAGGGTTTCAGTAGCCTTTCTAGATCATCTGTATAAGTTTTTATTAAGCTTACTGGATCAGGAGTACCATTACTATCTTAAGCTATTGTCTGGGATGTAGATTTGTTATGGAACTGGGATATCTACGTAGATTGTATACATGGCGTCGCCCAGATGGACGAACAAGAAATCAAATAGATTACATTATCCTAATAAAATTCAGATGGAAAGCCTAGGCCACCAAAAAATAAGAGGATACATATGTGAGCATCAACTCCTAGTATTAAATATCAGACTTCATTTTAAAGTACTTAAAAAAGATCCCGAATAAGTATCACGTCCCTTAACCCCACAAAAATGAACGAATTCCAGCAAAACCTAGAATAACACCTTTCTTTAGATCAAGTAGATAGTGATCCTGAAGAAACTTGGATATATCTCAAAGATAAAATAATCGAGACTGCAAAAGATTATAATATACCGATTTACATAAACCGCAAGCCTTGGATAACTCACAACACTTGGATTGTAATTCTACACAAAAAAGTTCTTCCAAATATGTAGAAAAATAGAATATCATGGTTGTCGGAATGAACTGAGGGATTTATTTCAAAGGGTAAAACAATAGAGAATTTAAACTTTAAACGTGATTTTTGAGAGATAAAGAAGGTAATCTAAAGACCGATACAGGTGTAATATATAATATAATATATAACGTGGCATAGATGACAGTGTTGCCGATTCAAATAATAAAATTTAATAAAAATTGAAAATGAGAATATATTAGGCGTGAATATATATATATATATATATATATATATATATATATATATATATATATATATATATATATATATATATATAGGAGTAAACATCGAAGACATTCAGGCAATGTGTCTTTAAAAAAGTAGATGAAAATTTCGGCACATATAAAACCAGTCTAACGAATGATACCCAAAATAATCAAAATTCCTCTTGTAAAACTTCTACACAGTTTATACATATATAGATTTTAAAGAGGATTATGCACACATTATAAAATTGTCTAGAAATATATATATATATATATATATATATATCTGTGTGTCGGAGGTAAACTACACTATGTCATAAAATGTAGTTTTGAGAAAAGGCGATTTAAGGTATGCCGTACCTCGAAAATAATAATTATTATTAAGACTTTTTTAATTATCACCACTAAATTGCAAATTAAAAGACAAATAGTATAATTACCTACTTTTGCACGTGTTGTTGCAGTTAAACTTAAGTTAGGAAGGGATGAAAAAATTTTTTTAATAAACATAGTGTTGTTTACCTCTAATCGTGTACATGAGTTCATGACATAATGTTTTAGTTCCTGACACGATTGTAATATGTTATGGTAATTAACCATATTTTAAAGGGTTTCCGGTTTTGAAATAAAAACAATTAAAGTCATCAGTTCATTTATTAATCATTCATTGGACATTCTGGAAAATCGGAAGCATGCTCTGCTTTAGGCAGAGACTTATAATAAGCATGACATTCACTCGATAAAAACGGCAATAATGACATTAAATCATTGTATTTTGCAAAAGATATTGGCTTTTGTTGTGTTCGACTTACGGCAAGACATTGAGGAAATGTAGCGTTTCTTCTTTTTAAGCTAAGGTGTTTAAATTCTTCGTCAAAAGCTGTTTTGTAATAGAGCTCTCCTACGTTTTCTTGGCGGACCTGGATGTGGACACATTCGGAAATCGAAAATTTTCTGTACACCAAGGGTATTTGTTCCTGTTTAAAATTTTCTTTAATGCCTGTGGATTTTTTATACAGATCAGTAAACTTTTTAAAGTCATTTAATTCCATGTTATGAACTGAGATTTTTGGTGAACAACCACGTATAAATTGTTGCCAATCCCAAGGGGTTTGGATAGTCATATTATTCGTTTTCTTGCGCTTTCTCTCAATTAAAGCATGTATTGTATCAGCCTCCATATGCGTATGGCCTTTAAGCAAAAATTTTTGATTAATAATCTTAATTTGTGGCCATTTATGCAAAATCCAAAATAAACAGGCTATTAGCATAATATTCTTATTTTGCCCATAGCAATTGTCTGACCATAAGGTTATTTCTTCGACATCAGCTTTGGGAATTACCAATTCTGCCCATTTGAGAAGGGCCGATGCTATCTCGTCACCACCACGGCCAGCTTTTGATTCGTCCCATATCATACAATGAGCTGTTCCGTCTGAAGCTTCATGAATTGTGAAATCAAATGTCCATAATTTCCGTTTGTAGAAATTTAATCCACATGTCAACATCGGTGTCGGCAAACATTTTTGCAGATCTGCAGTCAATACTTTATGTTTATTATTATGTTTGGCAATATCCTTATCAGCATTTTTCAAATCATATCTTTGCTTTGCATCGGCTAGGTGAGCATCATAGCTTTTCTGTAGGGTTTCTTGGTCGGTTGAACTTAAAAGGGTGTCTTTCAATTGGCTGCAGTACATATCACAAGTATCACATGTGTCATTTTCTACAACTTTGAATTTCAATTTAAATTGTGTATTAAAAACATGTGTATAAACCCATTTTTTAGCAATGGCAGAGGTAGGTATATTGATCTCTTTACAATGTTTTATGTAAAGTTGATACATTTTCTCGATATTTAACTCTGGAGACAAAAATTTACTTTCAGTTTGTTCTCTACAGTAATGACTCTCGTACGAAGGAAACGACAGTATATGTTGAGTAACGTTCTGGATAATAACTTCGGATGTTTTGTTACTAGGAACTTGTCGTCCCCTTTGGTCTGATTCAATTATTCCTCCAGGTTGTCTTTTCTTTAAAGCAGTTATAACAACTGAATTTGAAATTGCCAGAGTATTTAAAAACATAGTTTTACATACTTTAATGGCTACATTGTTGACGAAAAACTTATAAATCAGCGTACTTTGTTTTGGTTTTGTGACGTTTCGTCTCGTTATTGCTGTGGGTTTACTTTCCACACAAGAAACAATAAACTGACGCTTGATATTATAATCAGCCGTAGAGCTCCAATAGTGATTAAAAATAGTGAGCCTATCACTATGTGTAAATTTTTCAAAGCATTTCATTCTACAAGAACAGACGGCTTTCATTTCTCTTGCAGAAACAGTCTTTCCTTTTTTGGACACATATGTTTCTCCAGCTGCGTAGCTTAGTTTTCGTTTATTACACTTCCACTTATTAACGTGTACGACTTTCTTTTTTCCCAGTTGTTGAAGTTCCGTTTTGTTTTTGACTTTTCTCTTTTGAGTAATATTATCCGCATGTTCTTGTTCAGTTGAAACATTCGTGCTTCTAACTGTATTTTTTTGTTTTCCAATAACACCTTTATTAGAATCTAAATTACCATTTGCTTTTTTATAATCTAATGTTGCGGTTTCATTTTTCGTCTTTCGGTACAGATTTCCATTTGTGTTTGAACTTGAATCAGATTCTTCCATACTACTTGGATTATATGTTTCATCAAGAAAAGAATCATCTGTATTGCTGCTAAATGAAGAACATCGGGACCGCTGACTACAGGATGGTACCATCAGCTCATTTACTGGAGCTCCTGAAGGAGTAAATAAAATAAAATATGATACGGATCATAAGTGTTAAGAAAGTTTACCTGTATGGCCTTCATTACTTTCCACTTGAGAATTCAGTGCATCTTCTACATTTCTACATATCGACATATCGCTATCTGTAAACAAAAAATATTCTTTTAAATAAAATATGATATGGATCATAAACATTAAGAAAGTTTACCTGTATGGCCCTCATTACTTTCCACTTGAGAATTTGGTGCATCTTCTATATTTCTACATATCGACACATCGCTATCTGTAAACAAAAAAAAATCTTTAACAAAATTCCTTGTATCTAATATAGAATATAAGATCTGGCAACGTCGCAAAACAACCATACGTAACCTTATGTGCTTCACTCGTAAAATTAAATTTACAACCTAACCTTAATTATTATTATTAGCAACACATTTACTTACCAAAATTCTCGTTATTTGCCATATTAAAAACAACCATTTGTACCAGCTTTTTCCCTCTGGAATTCATGATCTAATAATATGATTCACTAACAGTTAATACAAACAAATAAACAATAAAACCCACTATAACAACTTGCTAGGCTACGTTGATAATCTCGAATACCATGACAAACTTGCCATAGTTGCCAAAAATAACACCGATCATGTTTCTAAACACAATGAATCTTATGTTATACCCAGAGGAATACTACACTATGTCCACATAGTGCAAAGGAAATGTGACAATCTTAATAGGAAAACAACACCAAGTACTGTTGGTGATATATACCTCTATAGAAGTTAATACATAGTGTAATATATCCTCCAGAATAATGCATTTATAGTCGAGCTAGGACATAGTGGATTATACCTTTAGAAAGAGAATTTAAAATTACGTAACACTATGTCAAGATCTCAATATTACACTAAGTTGACATAGTGTAGTTTACCTCCGACACACAGATATATATATATATATATATATATATATATATATATATATATATATATATATATATATATATATATATAGATTTTAAATAGGATTATGCACACATTATAAAATTGTCTAGAAATACTGTAGGGTGGACTGGGAACTCTTTTACACTTTTACAATGACATTATAGCAAACTTGAAATAAAATCATGATCAAATTGTAAAAAATGTGTGTTTTTATCAGAAAACATTTGCAGTATAAGTGTGAGAACAAAAAATTAGTAAAATTTCTGGTAAGATTTTACATTCCTACCATTTTATATTGGTTGTTGTTTTGTTCAAGAAACCTTAGATGAAGTGTATGAGACACCGAATAAAAAAAGGAAGAAGGTGGAACCATCATTAATAGATAAAGCATTAGATGCTTTAGACAGCATTGCACGTGCTATAAGTAGTGCATCAAATGAGGATGCAAACTCCATTTATGGAAAATATGTGACAGACTTTCAAAAATAAAAAATAAAAAAATATTGTTATAAGTTAAACAAAAAATTGACAATATTTTGTATGAAGCCCAACTTGAAGACCTAGAATAAAAAATTAGTAGGTAATTTATACATCTAGTTGGTAAAAAGTAATACAAAGATTACAATAAAAATTGTGTTTTATTAAATATGAATCTACAATACTATTTTAATTACATAAGACATTTATTTTGCCAAGGTACAGAACCTTTATTCATAAAATGATTTTTAAATTTATCTCTTACAGATAAAGCAATTTCTGCTAGCCTTTTAGGACCTTGTGATTGAGATAGATTTATTAAGTGTGTATCCATTGTCTCAGTTTCCGCATACGTTATATTTTTTTAAATTAAAAAATTGTGCAGGACACAACAGGAAAAAGTGGTTATATCAACCTTATCTGGGCTCAAATTTATTGTTGATAAAAGCACTCTAAACCCATTGAACATTATGCCAAATGCATTTTCAATAACTCTCCGTGTTCAAGACAAACGATAATTAAAAATTCTATCATTTGATAAATCTCTTGTGGGATAAGGTTTCACCATGTGTTGAAATCAAGGAAAATGCATCATCGCAAACAAATACATGGGGCACAACAATGTTGCTCATGGATAAATTTTGCTCTAGAGGTAAATTAAGTATATTTCTATCCATGACTTTTTTGAGTGAGGATTCCCTGAATATACCGCCATCACTCATTCTTCCATTTACTTCGACATTAACATATAGTAATTTATATTGAGCATTTGCTACTGCCAGCAGTACTATACTGAACTGTCCTTTATAATTGTAAAAATAAGATCCACTGCTACGTGGAGCACGAAAGTTAATATGCTTGCCATCAAATACTCCAAGTCATATTGGAAATTGCCACAAATTTTCCAAGTCACTTGCCACTTGTTGCTACTCGCTTACAGTTTGAGGCATCTTTATGTATTCATCTTTTAGTCTTTGGTAAATCACTTTACATACTTCTAGTACTATCGTACTTTCATGAATTCGAGTTGAAAACATCAAAGAACGATATGATTTACCAGTTGCTAAGAAACGTAAAGTTAAAGCCAATCTAAAATCAAAATCATAGCTAAATATTATTTGCAAAACTTGATATTCTGAATAGAATTACTTACCTATTCTCTGCAGATACACCCTGTCTTTAATATGTATCCTGTGTGGTAATATCTTCTCGAATAAGCCCAAGAAGTTCATTAAACTGTGGCTCACACATTCTTATAACTGCCTATATTTTTCAGGATCATTGTCTTTAAGTTCTGTTTCCAACATACCTAAAAGACTACGGCCTTCCTGTCTTTTCTGAAGCCAAGCTCTAGACTACATATTTCGTTGGCGTTTTTTCTTGCTTGTTTGAATAAGAATAAATGTTGCAATAGAAACAGTGGATAATAATAGAATTTTCTTATCCATCATCTAATATATCTATATAAAATAACAAAGGTAAAACTAGGGCAAAGTTTGTATTATATATCTATGGGAAAAATCAGGTTAAAATATTGTTAAAAGAAAAAGAAGAACATTGAGGTTAACAGTACATGTACCAACATAAAAACATACTTTTTAGCATGTAATGCGCAGAATCACATAACATATTCTAGTATGAAAATGTGACAATGTAACAAAACACAAAACTTCTTGTATTAATATTCAACCATTTTCAATCAATCCCAAATAAATAGGCAATTTGAAAATGGAGAATTCGGAACTGCAATACTTGTAGGAGATGCAGGGTATGGGGTAAAAAATTACTTAGTTACTCCATTAGCAGACACAAGAAATCGTGCAGTATGGAGTGTGGAAAAGGAGGTTTCCAATATTGAGCAATGGTATAAATTTGAAATTAAACAAGATTCAATGGGTGATAGTTGCTACAGCTGTATTGCATAATTTAGCAATAGATAGCAATGACTTGGAGCCTCCTATATTAAATGCAGATGATCAGGCTGCTTTTAATTTTGTTAATAATATGCCTGCAGATGTTCATATTGATCGGAATATTAACATTATGACTAGAAATGAAATCATTGCCTATTTCAGTAATTTGTAGTTTTATTTGTCATAAAAATGTTTTTTATTATTTGTACCATTTGTAAATAAATATTCTTTTAATAGATTTGATTTTTTGCATTTTATAAATCTACCTTTAAATGTGAATTTTAGGAATATATTTTTGTGACTTAACTTTTGTTATTTTAATATCATTTTTTTCTTCATAAATATTGTTTTAAATAAATGAATGAATAATCTTACCATAAATCATTGCAATTTTTAGTAAATAATTGTTTGGTAAAACTAAATATAAATGTTTTGTATGTTTAATTTTCTTGGCCTTTTTTCTCAGCACTAGATATGACACAAAAGTAATTTGACTTATTTGATTTGTAAAAAATGACACCTAAGATGTACCAAATACTATAAACTATAGTCTATAGTATTTGGATGTACTTTTTGAATATTTAATTTGAAAAGAAGACAATGCAATGAATGAAGCTACAGTAAATATGCAGACAGGAAGTAGTTTAATAGAAGGATTGTCAAATATAAAAACAGGCAAGGCAGGAGGAGGACATGATGAAATTGAACCGGAAATGGTCAAATACATGTGAGAATAAGGTATAAACTGGCTATGGAAAATACATAAAGTGGGAAAACAAACAGTCCCTAAAGATTGGTCGAACAATTCATTCTGCCAATTTCCAAAAAAAGAAAACATGTAAACTGTGATAATTGTAGAGATCTTTGTCTCTCATTAGTATTCTTTAAAACATATACAAAAATTATAGAGAAATGACCAAGACCAGAAGTAGAAATGAGATTGGGAGAAGAACAAGCAGCATTTAGACCAGGAAGACAGACAAGTGACAACATATATATCAATAGGAACCTTATGGAAGGAAGCATAGAAACAGGGGAAAACTAGTATTTGCATTCATAGACCTAACAGCATCATTTGCTACAATATAAAGACAGATTATAGGAAAATGCTTGAAAAAAATACATGTACCAAATATATTCATAGAAATTATAGAAAAGATAATGATAATCAGTGTCAAAGAAGAAATAACGATAAAATGTTCATAATTTGCCTTGTAAATTCAGAAACATGGCTATTAAGAGAATGTCCAAACCGATAATAAATAAAATAGCAAAGAGACTCATAAACTAGTATGAGCATCTGATGAGGATGCATCCTAACAGAACTACAAGAAAAGTCCATGAAGCAAAGAACATTGTAAACAGAAAAAGAGGCAGGCCAAGAAAAATATGGATAAAAGTAGTATGAGACCCGAAGAGTTTAACAAGAATCACACTAGAAATTAAAAATAATGGAAGAGACAGGTGAATGGAAATTAAAATAGCTGTCCCAAATCCGACAAACTGATAGGTAAAAAGAAAGGAAAGAAATTTATTCTTTTTATTTATTTATTACATTTTATTAGTTTGTGGCTGGTGCTCCCCTCGTAATAAGCTCATTTTTAATTTGTGCTCTTCTTGAAGGTATTTCATTTAAAGGTCATGCAAGTCCTTCTTTCTCTTGTTATCTTCCATCAGTGATTGCTTCTTCAACTTATATAATTCCAATTTGGCATCAGCCACCTTGCACCGTTTTTCGTTTGTGGCACTCCCAGTTACCTTTTCTGTAATTTATTGATTTCATTAAATTCATAATTTTATTTTTGTCAACTTACCTTTTTTTTCCTTTAATTCCTTCGCCACTGGTTTTTTTAGTTTCGACGGTGTATAATCAGACCAATCTACAAAATATATGAAACACATTTTAATATGTACATTAAAATATTCACCTTCATCAGTATTTAATAAATCTAAACGTGATTCATTTATATTTGCTTCATTTTGAAGTTCTTCTTCTTGTACTTCTATTTGAAGTACTTCTACCACATTTTCATTATTTTCACTTCTCTCTAAGTCCTCTGCCGCAAGATATTCTAAAAAAACTCACAATTAAAATGGCTAAATTTTGAAAGTCATACAATACTTGCCTGTTTGAATCAAATCAGAATCACACTCTGATGGCATTCCTGTCCTTCGC